GCGGAACAGAGACCGACGTTAAATAAAGGAAAAGAAGATGAAATTGCTACTCTCTGTTTGTAGTAGCACAGCAAGCAAGGAGTAGCAATTTCAAATTTGTATGTTTTGTGGAAGCTGACATTTGTGCCTTTAAAGTTTCACGCTAAGGCTTCCTTAGAGTATCACCTTAACTCAAAAACTATGTCATTTAGCATGAAACTCTTGCCTCCATTGAACAGCTTGGTAAATTTCCTACTTAATAGTATCATTTCTACTTTAAGTAAGCTGCATTTAGACACATTTTAGGGATAAACGAGTCTAAAACTTGTGTTTTCCTACGGGTTTTCCCTTATTATTCCTAAAATATACGTAATAAAGTGTATTGTTTTGTCTTACCAAAAGATGCCTCTACAACTCTCAATGCGCTCTACAACTTTAACTTCGACACCAATCTTCTATCTTGTTTAATTTTGTCGCAATTTCGTACTAAACACATCATGTTGGGTCGTTAATTAACGGTTGCGTAAAACACGAATTCAACCCCACCGTGCGTTGCTGTTGACGTCTGTTGGCAGCGCGCATAGCACACTTGATCGCCACGCGGAGTGACGGTATGAAAAATGTGACAAAAAAAAACAACGCATGATAAAAATTGAAAATTTTCTGTTTTTTCTCGATACCAATGTAAATCAGTTCATTGAAATGATTGGGTATTTTCCAATAATTAATCAAATTGAAACAATGATCTTTGTTTCTTTCACAATAAAATAACGTTCCATCCCGGAGCCGACGGTGTGTATACGTGAAGGTTCCTGTGTCAGCGTAATTTTTACATACAAAACTTAATTCTAACATTATTTTTACATACTTGCGTTTGGCAGTCGACGCTTGGGGAACCTGCGACCATATTCTTGCTGGGCTGTCGTTGCCACACAGTTGGCAAAACCGTAGCAGCTCTTCTGGAGAATACATGTTTGTTTTCTGCAAGCTGTAAGTTTCTGTTTTGTTTTTCTTCTTGTTCTAACTTATCGCACTTATCAGACCGTCACCCCGCGCGGTGATCATGTGTATGTACAATCATTGTTCAGGTATGTGGATTTTGGTCCCGCACGATATGCCTTCAAAGAACACTCCAAAACTCCGTCTCAGACAAAGTTCGAAAACTGTACCGTTCACATATTCTTATAGGACTTATGAGGTTTGTCTTATGGGATGTATAAGGCTGATGTTTTGGCAAAATTGTATAAGTGAAACACATGAAAAATTAATTTTCGTTTTGTGTGCCAATATACACCGGAAGATTCTTTCGACATCCCCAAGAAATCTCTTTCTTCTTGAATTGTTTCCCCACCAGTAGAAGCTTCCGATTTTCTCCAGAATTTTCCTCCCAACTACCTTAGGAAGTTTCTTCCAGTGTCTCCAGGAATTTCTTGCGTCTTCTCCAGCAAGTTCCTTTAAACTTCTACTGGAAGTATCTATGGAAACCTTCCAGATGTTTCTTTCGTCTTCCTCTGGAAGTGTATCCATAAGCTTCCTCCGGAGAGTTTATTTTTCCGACAACTATTGGAAAGTTTTTCCGAGCTTCTTCTGGCTGCCCCTGATAGTGGCTACTCCTGGATTTTTCTTCAGATTTCCGGAACCTTTCTGGATTACTCTAGATGTGCCATCCGATTGTTTGATGAAAGTTTTTTTTTTTAATTTTCTCCAGACGGTGCTCAATATTTTTCTTGGAAGTTCCCCGGATATTTTTCCGGCTATTATAGAAATTTCTTCAAACTTCCTACAGAACAGCTTCTTTCTCCTATCTATGGAAGTTTTTTTTTCTTCAGCTTACTTCTTCGATCTAGTTGAACATTCCCCGGAAATTTCTTGTGACTTCTCATGGAAAGCAAATTTTTCGTTCTTAGTCCAAAAGTTTAAGTGTTCACCTTCAAAAACGGCAAAGATATATATACCGACTTATTAAAACCTTTGATACCAATAAGCTGGAAAACAATCTGACAACACTGCATATAAGTTTATACACGGTAAAAAGTTGTCACATCTAATCCAAATGCTCTTGCACTTGACTTAGTCTGTTATGCGGCACTACGAATCGAAGGGATTTATTATTGATTTTCAAGTGATTTTCGTTTAGACACAAAGTGATTTTTCGTTGAAAAATGTGTACTGTATAACACCTTTAAATCAAAATGATTATCATTTGAATCGGCATCACTGTTTTTATCCATTAAATTTGATTAGTTTTGCTCTTGAAAGCAAATGTCAAAAATGCACATACTCGCAAAGATGGCAAGTCAACAACAAATGAAATCAAATGAGAGAAGCGATAATTCTTCATTCCAGCCCGAAGTAATTTGCATTCTAGAGCGTGAGTATTATGAAATTGATGCTGTATTCAATAATAGTGTACAATAGAACTTCTATCACATAACATTGTCAAACTTATCACATTAAATGCTCAATGTCTCGTCTTGCTTCTTCTACAAGCCTTGTTCAATGTAACTTGGAAACATGTGATCTGAGTAGTATGATACATGTTCTTTGGCCATATTCTGAATTACATATAACAAGGCTTGCAGTATGAACAAGGCAATATATCTATTTAAACCCATTTTCAGCAAACATGAAATGATGAACATGAGCAAATGATAAATAAGTTAAACTTAAAGTGATAGATTGTTAATATCAGTATGGTTGACATTTCGAGTTCAAAGCACAGCACATCAACAACGATGTGCAATACAATCTAAAATGAAGTGATTTGCTGTTGATTTCATCGTGCTTCGATATGATCTCTTTCAAAGGATTTGCACATCGAATTGCAATGTTTGGCAAGTAGTGCAAATTCAACTGCAAATCACTTTACATGAACATGATGTTTTTTTACCGTGTAGGGACAAACTACAAATCAGCGGGATTATCCAGCTTTCCACGCTCGGTAATAGCTAAGAAAGAAAGGAGACATTTGGCTTCTTTTTGTCTGTGACGTGTTCTTCTTCTCTCGCGGAAACGACCGAGCAACAACTATTTCATTATGGGCGACGCAGTGGTCTGTCAAAATACAAGAAAATAGATTACATGTTGTAAAAATTCTCGCGTTTTTATATGTTCACCCGACCAATCAGGCGCTGGTTCGCGTTTGACAGAAAATTAGTTCATAAAAGTCCCCCTATTGCCTCCTCTTCCTCTTAGCGGCTTGTTCTTATGAATAAATGTATCATTCACTGGGATTTTTGACACTAGCTGGAGGCTGGGATCAATGAGGTACAGAGAGAGGTGAAGCAGATCGTGAAATATTGTTGTATTAATAAACCAAAAAATCAACGTAAACGCAAGTAGTGACGTCACTAATTGCTTGTATCGTACAGGGGTTTTACTCACACAACTTAACCGATTGCTTCACCTCGGTAATCCAGCTCATTGGGCTGGGACGGGACTTGACAATAGGGCAGCGATTTCGGCGATTTCGAGTCAATTTGCTGTCAAATCAGAGCCAGTTTCTGATTGGTGGATTTGGCAGTAGCAATCGTGAAATAGAAAGGATAGATGGATCGCATCAATCTGACTTGCAGTGATGCAGGAATCAATGTTTGACGTCAATGGCGTTGTTAATTGTTTATATTTGCGAAAGGAAAGTTGAAAAAATTGAGTACACTGCGCGTTTTAAGCGATTGATATTGTTGTTTGTTTATGGTTGTTTTTATTGTGTTGAGTAAAAATGATGTACGAACTGCTAAACTGCGGTAGAAACTCCGAATAAAATCCAAATTAAAATAGAAAAAAGATTTTATATTCCTGGCATCATTGGTCAACTTCGCCAAACACCACGCACAACATTAAGAAGAGTGAGAAGCTCGATTGTCAAGTCCCGTCCCGCGCTGGAGGGCATATGTTGTTCTATTGTTCTCTGTTCCTAAGAGACGGGAAGCGGGGGATGAACATTAGACTGATGCAAAATTTGACATTTTTGCTCCACAGTACTCAAGCTGTTCCAAATCGGGTCTAGATTAGCCTCCCAAGGTTTGAACTGATTTGGTAAGAAGCTGACTGGGCACAAACCATTTGAAGTTTATATGGGAATTACTATGGGAAACCAAACTTTTTCTTCGTAGTCTTCTATCCTTCTTCCATATTGCACCGTTAGAAATTTCTATAAGTATTCTTATAGAAAATTTTCTCAGCTACAACTTTGCGCAATACTGTTTTTCAGCCAAACATCAAATTAAATAGTTATTAATTGTTTAAGAGATTGATAATCTTATGGCATGATCAAGCAACTGTTTTGTGGGCAACACTGTATTCTGCAGTGTGTCATAGTAGCCATGATGTTTTAGCTCTATTCTGAGCGCCAGAAACACCAATGTTACCTGCTGAGCAGTTGATTGAGCATAATCATAAGACAATATTGACTTGAATCCTCACATTTTATCGAAAAATGGTCTTCAACAAAGTTGTAGCTGTAAAAATTTACTACAACAGTCATCAATTTTTAGAGCAGAGTAATAGGGTGAATTATTAGATAGATGTGAACACAAAATTTGGTTTTCCCATAGTAATTTCCATATAAACTTCAAATGGTTTGTGCCAAGTTAGTTTCTTACAAAATGAAATCAAATTTTGGAAGGCTAATCAGGAACCAAATAGGAACGATTTGAACGCTGTCGAGCGAAAATTTCAAATTTTGCATCAGTCTATTGAACATGCTTAGTGTCAAAAAGCAGAGTGAAGGAAACATTTATTCATACCACACAGACCATTACCGAACGTGGAAAGCTAGACTGAATTGGTCAGCAATAGTGAATGACATCCTTCTAGGTTGTAATTCCACTTAATCCAAACACAGATTTAAGATCATGCAACTATCCGAGCACCATCGCATTTCGCACACCGAATGATACCAATTCGTATTGCAACAGCAGCAGCAGCATCAGTAGCAGTATCTGAACACTTGCAGCAATTTAAAAATTTGGTAATGTATGTTCCTTACCTAATCTTACCACCTATGTTCCGCTCTTTAGACTTAGCTCCTAACACCAACAACAACCATGGCTGACGATGAGGCAAAGAAGGCCAAACAGACCGAAATCGAGCGCAAGCGTGCTGAAGTGCGCAAGCGTATGGAGGAAGCCTCCAAGGCGAAGAAGGCCAAGAAGGGTTTCATGACTCCAGAAAGAAAGAAGAAACTCAGGGTAAGTCGCAGTAGTCCATTTGCTCAAATGTTAACGCGTACTGATTTTTCTTTGTATTGTTGTTGTTGCTGTCGTTGACAGTTGTTGTTGCGTAAGAAAGCCGCCGAAGAACTGAAGAAAGAACAGGAGCGCAAGGCAGCGGAACGTAGGCGCATCATCGAAGAACGGTGCGGCAAGGCAAAGAGCACCGAGGATGCCAACGAAGGTATTGTTTGTCATGTCGCCAATTTCGGTGCCTTAGAGTTAGGGGCTCACACACGAGAAAAGTTCCTATATTGTTTCTTTTAATAACTCGAACGCTGATTATTGTCGGTTACTCGTGTTATGAGCGATCTACAACCAAAAAAAAAATCATGAAAAGGAAACGCATCTCTTTCTGTCTCATCTGTCATCACTATGAAGCCATCTCTTTCCGCCATTTTGATCATTTTGTACACTGAAAAAAAAATCACTTGTTCATTATTTTTTTTCTCGAAATGCCATTTCATCTCACGCCACATAAAAAAAATGCACACATTCAAATATTTAAAAAAAAATGTTACACACTTTCTACATTACCCCTCGCCATTCCCCCCCTCCACCGCCAACCAACTCAGAGCAAATCAGGAAATTCCTCCGCGACTATCACGCAAGAATCAATGCCCTGGAAGAGGAGAAGTTTGACCTTGAATATGTAGTGAAGAGGAAAGATTTCGAGGTATAGCAGCATAATTACAAACAACCACTCTCTCTCTCTCTCTCTCTCTCTAATTCTGTCTCTTTATCTCTCTACAACTATACAAACCAAACTACACAAAATCTACAATCTACGATACTCTCTGTTTTCTCAAAAGTTCTTCTCTTCTAATGTTTCTCTACTTTTGTACTTCTCTAATTGTGAGCTTAATAATTTTTTTTTCTCTGGAAGGAACCCTTTTACCAGTAATTCTGTTTGAACTTTAATGATTAATTCTCCGGAAATGCCGCCTTGCTGTCTCTATTTTCGTTGTCAAATGAAGTCGTCAATTGGAGGACCCCTCGTTCGGTGGCTACACTGCAACGAAAAATCACCTCTGATTGCTAATATTTTTTCTGTCGAACGTCACTTTTTGTCACTTTTTGTTTTTTGATGTTGTGTAAGTGTTGTCACTAAACGCTTCGATCGTGGATTCCGTATATTTAGGAGGATACCAGGCAGGATGTCTCATCATGTCTCGGCTGGCTTAGGTGCTAATCTATCCCAAAACCTTCCGGCTTACATCAATCAACCGACAGCGTCAAGTGATAAAGCGAAAAGGCTTCTGTAGTAGATGCTGAAATTTGGAACCGTTTTCTAAATCTGTTGTCAAAATCTCCACCCTTTCTGTTTTTGTAGCATGTTTGAAGCACATATGCAAAGAATACCACAAAAGAATTTGTACCCTGGAAGGCGAAAAGATTGATTATGAGTATGAAGTTGCTAGGAAGGATCTCGAGGCAAGGATTAATTTTTGTTTCTTATATATTGCGCGTAGCAAGCGAATATTTTGCTAAGACAAGTTTGTCTTGAACGAGAAGAGTAACACACACAAACACCTATATACCGCCCGATATTCACCATTTAAACACACTGCCGCCGTTAAAACTCAAAAACTCAAAACCAAGTCTGACAGTTAGCCGCCGCCGCCGCTGTGAGCTTGCCGCAGCGCCGCCGCTTCTCACGCGCGCTAATAACGAAATTTCTCACTCTTCCTCCTTTAGCTCCTCCTCTTCTAGCTCTCTTTCTCTGTCTTATTCCTTTTTTGACTGTCCTCTGTTGCTGAATCTGAATTGACCCAGCAGCTTCATTAATCATTTGTGCCAGGCCTTGCTACGATTTTTTTAATGTCTCTTGATAAACAACAAACGAAAACTAGCCTAATTCGGCTTGGAGTTTTTTGTCTCTAAACTTTTTTTGGATAACATTCAAAACAGCGACCCTTCCGCGAAATTCGATTCGAAGTCAGTACACCTACCACATACGAACAAACACACGTCACACCACACACATTTATCCAGGACACCAATCTCACCCATCGAACGCCCGGTAGAGGGCGTTCCCCGAAGAGCTCCAATACAGAATCATCGTTTTAGAATAGATCCAAAACCAAAAAAAAACAACAGAATCTACTACCACATTCCAAAATTCATTTTTGATCAACCTGCGTATTTGTGAAAAAAAAAACCGACGATTTTTTCCCAAACAACAAAAATGATCCACTCACTTATCAATGATTCAAACCCTCGTGTATTTATCCACTAGCCGAGCTCCAAACTATTGTTCGCGTATATTGGAATAGGATATTTGGTTTGGAAGGTGACAAGTACGATTTAGAAAGAATGGAAAAATTGAAACAGTTTGAGGTAAAAAAAAATTTATACGACCTGTCAAATTTTTTTTTCGAGTTTGCCAACCAAAAATAAGCAAAATTAAAAAAAATAAACAAACGCCACATATACATACCCACAAACACTCACACACAAACATACAGACTCATTAAGACGTCGTTATTTTATTTTTGTTATTGCATTGACTTTCTTTTTGTTTTTGATTACCAACTGCCAAATCAAACCCGAATAGAAACACAAACCTACAGTAAATGCACAATCGGCATTGACACAGACATACACTGAAAAAAAAAACTACCCCTCAAAACGTGCAAATTTTTGTTTTGCTATTTTTTCTCGAACATGTTTTTTGAATTAACCTTTCTAGAAACTAAGCCAAGAAAATGAAAACAAAAAAATACAAAATACAACCAAACTACACCCAAAAATGAAAAGTAGCAAGAGATATCCGCGTTGGAATTGGAACGGTTCCGTCCGCAAACATGGCCGTAAACGAATTCGTCATTTCGTATCGCAGACTCATGGCTCATTCTATCAGTCTATCTCCGTCTCAAATAATTTAAAAAAAAATCAATACTACCCGCCAAAATCGTCATTTATCTTAACTACTAAAAGTGTACAAACAAAAATGGAAACTTTCTCGCTCGCTCTCTATTCCCCTCGAACCAACTAGAATAATCTAATCAAACAAGCAACAGTTTGAATATATATATATATCAGCACCTATATTTTAGATCGTTCTTATCGTAATTCTTTCGTTGTATCGTTCGTTACAAAACATTCGTTCACTTTTGACATTCCTTTTTGATTTCCTCGTTTTCGTCTCTCCTTTTGTAAAAAACAAAATATTATGAAAGCATAAAAATGACCGTGTTGCACACTCGTTTTCCCATTCGCAGACATGTTGAAAGACATTGTTAAAGAATATTACACCCGTATGTATACATGTGAAGGCCAAAAATGGGATTTGGAATATGAAGTCCGGAAAAGAGATTGGGAGGTACTGCCGAACATATCAATAATAATCTGTTTCTATACTCATTTGAAGTTCGTTTTAGTTTTCCGTTTTCCATTTTGTTTACATTTTGTTCGTTTTCCTTTGTTTTTGTTTATCTCTCTCAAATTAAAAAAAAAAAAAAAAAACATTCAAAAATTAATAGAACCAAACATTAAAACATTTGAATCCAAGCTATGCCCAGAGTTTGAGTACATATTTTCGTTACCAAACCAGTAAATAGTTATTAATAGAACCATCACTTGTTTTTGTTTACATTTCACTAAAACAAATGACAATCACTACCGAGAGCGAAGTTTTGATCGCTTCCGTTCCAATGTTGTTCGTTTTTTTTTTATTTCGTTTGCGCTCGATCAAAATGCCCGGGCGGACTTTACTCTGACGGGGAGCGGGACAAGACTCGAGATGGCGGCATCTGGCCAACGATCTTCGTTCGTAGTCGTTCGTTCTACCCATCGGAGAGAAATTATCGTGACTTTTCGCTCGCCAGAACTGAGTCTTGCCATCGCTCCCGGAACATCAACCGTCAGCGCCCGGGGCCCGGATCGGAAGTGAAGCCAATATTCACTCGAGATTCACCCACCCCATCAAGGAGATTTTGATCTGGATTGTTTCGTTTCGTTTCTGATCGCACTAATCGACTGACCAATGGTTTTTGTTGTGTTCCATTTTGTATCGTGTTTGCATCAAACACGCACACCAACTCAGATAAAAACACATTAAGGCGCGCGCGGTCCCACCTTGAAGACGACAGCGTGTTGACAGCGTTTGCTACGCTGGGCGGGTGGCGCCTATTTGACAGCTCGATCGAGCCCGCGGGGCGAGAGGCAAGCGGCGGATGCAAAAGCTGTCAACCCGCCTTCGTGCCATCGTTGTTGACTAACTTTAGCGATAATTTTCCTCACAATTTCAATGAATGAGTCGCGTTTTTGTCATTATCGATTGAGAGCTAAACTTTGTCCATAAGCAAATGTCAAATAAATACACATGAATGCAACATCTCTCGTCTGTCATACCCCGTGTTAACTAACCAGCATAATGGTGTAGGTTTTCTTGTTGTCTCGTTAAGTTGTAGAACGACTTAAAAGTGTACAGTTAGTGTAGATTAAGGGTATCATTTCATGGCCTACTACCACCGAGCACTGGAGACGTGTCAAACGAATCTTGAGATGGTACCCCCACCCCCACCGTAGAATGTCTGTAAATACGTAGCGCTAGAAATAGTTTAGGTCCTTTTTCTGCAATTACAACAGTCGTAGCTCAGCAAGTGCGTGCAAATGTCAAACAAATCGATCAGCTTCGGGTCCGTACATCCACGCTCTAACTGCCATGGCCTGCTTTGCATCCGTAAACTAACCGCATGACCATCCTCCGTTCTATCTTTTCTCTCTCTCTCTCTATAAAAATCGACTAACCATCTCTCTCGAAATCGAAAGCGATCCGCCGCAAAACGATCTCAATCGTGTGAACCTTAAGACTGTAAACGAGCTCCTGTATACACTGAAAAAAAAACTTCAATCGTAAATTTCACATTAAAATACACACAAAACAAAACTTGAACGGTAACATTTGTGCTCTCGGTGAACGCAAATGGGCGGCAACATTGCCGTAACAATAACAATAACAACGAACGACACTACAGACCATGTTTCTGTGTATGTTTTCAGTTTTGTGATTGACACTGCCACGACCCATGTTATGATGGTTGCAAAGCAAACCAAAGAAAGAAGATAAACACGTTCCATGAGTGACAGGAAAAACCGAGAAAAATACAAGACTCTCTCTCTCTTGCTCTCTCTCTCCATTACTTGTTTTTTGTTTTGAACATTTGCCCGCGCGTAATTGCCCGCCTCCGATGGTGACTGTGGTTAATGGGAATCGATCCATCTTTCGGTTTAGTCCAAATTTGCCTAGCTTGCCTTAGTATTTATTTTTTTTTTCAAGTCTGACAGAAAAGCAATTAAAAGTCTAGAGACAGTATGGCACAAACAATAGAACAATACCCGTTTTTCGCCTATCATTCCCTCATCTACTCGACCCGTTTCCCCCATCCATTCCCGAGCAAGCGCAGCTGTCAAATAAAAAAAACATATGAAATTTTATGTTACTGCAATGTTGCCAACGAAAAATTTTATATGTTTCCCAACGTGTTTACCAACATAATCTTAAGCCATCTAACTCTCGTTTTTTTCTGTTCTTTATTGTTTTTTTTTTTGTTTCGCTTCTACTTGGAACGCTCTCTCTGTCTCTCTCATTTTTGTTGTTGTCGAAACCAGTAAAGTGAAAACCAAAACCAAAACGAAATAGCCCAGTATTGCACGTGGTTTTTGTGATTTCTCTTATAATTTCATTTTACAGTGTACTAACCAGTGTTGAGACCCGTCACATTCGAATGTTGTTATGTGTTATTTGACATGGAAATGTTAGGGAAAACTTGCGTTCAAGTTGTTAAGGTCAACCACAACCAGTCACATCGTTCTACTTTTTGCTATCAATTGAGTTATTCCGGTTTTCTAAGTAATATTTAAAAAACAATTAAAATCACTTTATGTGCCATACTGTGCAGTACCTTCACAAGATTACTCTCTCTCTCTCTCTATCTCTCTATCTCTCTCATTCTCTGTTCTGTCGATTTGTACACATTTGTTCATACTAAAAACAAAAAATTCCATAACCTTCGCATCTTTCCGGGAATCAAATCCATTGAAACGAAACAAAAATGTGCCTTTCCATTGTAATATCGAGCAGATTAGCCCTGTCAATTTGTCTCTTACAATCCAACTGTCAAAAACCGACGGATAATAATAATAATATTAATAGTAAACAAACAAAAACGAAACCTGATTGCAATCAGTCCTGTGTCGTGTTGCGAAATCAACCATTCTGTCTCAATGTTTTTTAATTGTGTTTCAACATCGCGCGGGCCGTGTATTTGTTGTACTATCTCTGTCTCTTTCACTGTTCCTTACCGTTTTGTATCTCTTTCTCTCGCTCGGTGGTGAAAGAGAAAATACATGTTCAACCGACCAAATTCCAAATTCGAACCGATCAATCAGTCAATCAAAAAATATATCTAAATATGTCAATGTAGTAGATGTTTTGTATTTTTTCGTTTTTCCTTTCGTTGTTTTGTTCTACACCAATAAAAAAAAAACACATAGAAAAACACACACTGAAGTAAATTTTCGTGTTTCTCTAACACACACAGTCTCGTCTCTCCGGAAAGGGGTACAGAGCCCCGACCCTGTTGTGCTTGTTGCAAAAGAATAAAAGCGAAACTCGTAGAGCATTGTTCCCCTTTCCAGCCTCTCAACTTCTATATAGATAATGCCAGCTTTCACCAACACCACTCACGACAATTAACACAACTACTAATTCCTACTTTTAAGATTACTATTGACCCTTAACCACCCCAGTTAAGAAACCGCACTGAAAAAAAAAGCCTAACCAGACTTTTTATTGATATTTACTCGAATGCTGTGTCTAGTATTTAGTAGTCGAACAACCACTTGTCTAACACTTGTACATTTCCGAAACCTGTATTTTCCACTACTCACTGTATAAATTTCAAACTAGTTTTTTTTCCGTTAATTTTTCCCGAGTAAAACATTCATCCGATCACAATTTCACCTACTAATCGTTCTCTTTCTCCCGCCGTCGTCGCAATCCGGATCCGCACCACTAGATTTCCGACCTCAATGCCCAAGTCAACGACCTTCGCGGTAAATTGTAAGTTTTCATCGATTCGATTTCGCTCAGTGTAGCTGTCTAATGGCCACAATCTCCTCTTCTTCCTATTTTTTTTCCAGCGTCAAGCCAACGCTGAAGAAGGTCTCGAAGTACGAGAACAAATTCGCCAAGCTGCAGAAGAAGGCCGCTGAATTCAACTTCCGTAACCAGCTCAAGGTTGTCAAAAAGAAGGAATTCACCCTGGAAGAGGAAGACAAGGAGGTACGTTTGCGTTTGTTTTGATTGCCTATTGTTTTCTCCATTTTTATCTCTCGGTGCAAATCAGATTTTTGAAGCACAGAAACACAAACATATTTTTTTTTCTCAGTGTAGCGCTACCGGTTCGACTTTGACGAACAACCTAGTAGCCTAGAACTGTTTTGAGTTTTTTTTTTGGCAACCGAACCGGGTTGTAAACGAAGCCTTCTCCTGCGATGATTCTTTTTGAAGCAGAGACGGCCGCCGAAACCGCGCGTGTTCTCGACGGGTTGATTTTTGACGAGATACCGGGTTGAGGTGTTTTTGCTCGCGTTAGATTCCATCCATTAACCGTCTTTCGTTTCGAAACCATTTTCTCTCTCTCTGTTACTCCGCAGGCTAAGAAATCGGAGAAGGCTGACTGGCAGAAGAAGTAGATGGGGATAACAAAACCACTTTTCTTTTAATTATCTTTTTTTGTATATTTAAAATTAACTGGAAACCATATGTGTCTATTTATTAGTTTTGACAATTATTATTGTTATTTTACAACAACAACAACAACAAAACTTACGGTAATGTGAGGGCTAGAACTCTTAATTCGCTGCTAAACCCGCCATACCAGCTCTGTGCAAAAAGTAATTTAACGAGAAATTCGCAAATAAACAAAACATCGTTGCATGGAACGAAAGCGTTCGAGCGATTAACGTAAATTAAAAGAAAACGAGTTTTGTATCTGTTGACCAGTTCCATGAAACTGTGTGTAAGATTCGCCCAGAAAATGCCAGTCAAGTTTTATAATGGAAATGTATAGGTAAACTTCAGTTTTAGGCTTGAATATGGATTGAGTTTTCCGTAAAAAAGTACCCCTTTTTTCCCGAAATTCTATCTCTTTTCCGCTTTATGAGTGATTTGCAATTGCAAACGAAAACGTTATGAAAACCAGTTTTCAATTGTACCCACAGGTAGAGTATACCAATGCCAATGCCGGGCCATACAATTCTGGACTGCTGGAAAATCCACTCGTTTGACTGCACTGAACGCTGTGCCAGTGCTGCCAGTTGAACTGGTTTCAGCACCTTAAATTAAGAGCCGTCAAGAATTGTATCGCTCGGTATCAATCAGTACAAACCACCACAGCACGGCTTCGATTCCCACCCTTCAGTACCGATCCAAACCATAAACCCTTCAGCACTTTACTCACAACAGAATTTGCTCATTCCATGCGCCATTTGCCACACATATGTTTAATATTATACTGATACAATTTTCCCACAAATTTTCTCTCTTTTTTCCACCGCCGAGCAGAAGAAACCCGATTGGTCCAAGAAGGGCGACAGCAAGGTAGCGGCCGAAGCGGTCGAAGCCGAGGCATAAACATCTCCTGTGCGCTAATTCTAAATCTTCGTCCTTACCACCACACAAAATCCATAAGCACTCACCTTTATTTGTCTGTTTTTTAATCTAAAAAAATTTAATAAAAAAAGAAGGCAAAATATGTATAATTGTCAACCGTACCGGAGCGCCAGTTGACGGAAGATATCGAAAAGAAAAGAAGGAACCCCATCCCGAACCACCCCACGTCTTGTTTTAATACCTAATCAACTTCCCAAATCCTTTCCTGTACTTCCTGCAGCCGTCCGGCAGGTGGCACTACTAGAGGCCGGAAGATCCAACCGCGAAGAGCACAACTTTGTGTTGCCTATGTGTAGTTGTTATTAACCCTCTGTCGTCGAACCCAACCACTTAATTTTATGTATTTAAAACGGTTTACTTCAAAATAATCGTGTATTTTAAAATGCATTCTTAAGAAGAAAAGAGTAAAAAGTCATTCTGTGAACTAAACTCTGTTTGGGTGTTTTGTGTTGTACTTCGAAACCGGTCCTAATCTGTTCCATTTCCAGGAAGAGGAAGCTGCCGCCTAAACCCAACAACATGTATTTCACTCGAAGATTCTTCCTCTCTCTCTTCGCCAAGTAAGTCGTCACCACTGCCGTCCTGTCGAAACGTGTGTGCCTATTTGTTTCAGTGTTTCTCATGAACTCAAATCTGCCCCCTCCCTTCAACAATTTGCAGGAGGGCTCCACCGAAGACAAGTAAACACCTCGAGAGCATTCATTTCACTTTTGTAATAAAAAAAAACTCAACGACGATTTGGATGGGGACTCTACACGCATCTCACCATACCGGGAGAATCCGACCCTTGCCGCTCAACCCTGGAATATTTCTTTTCAACTCTAAGCCCAACGCGATGCTGGTGTAGCGAGATTTTCAATTGTTTGTTTTAAAATGACTTTACTGTGGAGATGTACACAATTAGGGAAATAAATGGAATAAGGTTAAACATAATCTACATAATCATATATAGTGCCATCTGTTGAGGAGACGTGAAACGAAACAAAGACAAAACAAAAATGCTGACATTAGGCTAAGGTATGCAAAAATACGGCAGTCTCTCTGTAAAATTTCGTTCTAGATGAGATCCTGGAGGTTTTAAATACTATTCTGATATTTTTGAGTAAAACTTTTATTTTTTAATCTAAATGTGTCCGTCGTTTTTCTTTCAGTGTATGTTCGTGTGAGTCAATCAAAAATGAAAATCTTCAAAGTGACTACGGAAGTTTTGAAAAATTCCAACCAACCACGAATTTTCGAACGGGACTATTGTTTTGGGATTTAGCATGACCAAGTATGAGCGGTCATGAAGTAGATACGTAGCCAGAAGGGGTTTGGGAGTGAAAGATTTGATTTAACGTTGCAGTCTTTATTGAAGAGGTTTTCAGCCTAATGACTTAAAAAATTGAGCAGTTCCACGCCAAATGACTAATCGGTCTGATGCGAACTTCTTGATTTGTATGAAACTTTGCATAATTGTTCGTTATGGTAAATCATTCATGTTTTTGCTAAAATTCGGCCATTTTGAATCAGAGTCAAAATCCATAAAAAATAACTTGAAAATGGCGTATTTGAGATTTTTCAACAAATCATAACTCAAAAACGACTCTTCCAATCAAAATGATGGCTAAGACAAAGATGTAGGAAAATTGTATACTTTTTCAGGAAAAATATACACGGTACAAAAATTCATGTTCAAAAACGTGTTTTAAGCTTAATTAACAAAAAAATACCCTCTTCAATATTTTTGAATATTTTTCATTAAAAAGCTTATGGAAAATGCTACCTTCTGTGATAATCTCAAGTTGTACACTTGAATTATTATCAAATTAAGAAAAATCCATGAACAACAACTTTTCGTAAAATTTTTAAATGTTTTGTGCAAACTATTTTTTGGGAAATTTTTGCACAGAAAACCATGTTTTGGACTTTGAAAATCTTTTTCTGCTTAAAAGTTCACAAAACAAAGCGAGCTGTCAAATTCTCAATGTATTGTTATTAACGGTGTTACCACAGGCAAACAGACACAACACATTGCATATTTTTCGACATAAAACATCTTCACTAAAACACTACCGCCAACTGTTGAGCGAGGGGCAAATCACTAGGTGGTGTGCTGAATCGAAAATACGTTTTCTTAAAAAAAATACTGAAAAATCTGTTAATACTCGAAACATTCGTGAAATACACACATTACATTAATACACATGAAATGCAGTATTCAATTTCAATTCTATTTAAATGCACAAAAATACCTTATTTCAGGCGAATACACCATTAATATGTCAATGCATCAATAAATCAGCACTGCTTTTGTAATACGTCAATCGAGATTTCAATACACGCCAATACGCTTTGAATTGTATATAGTCTATGTTATGCGCACAAGTATTGAGTTTGGGCGCGAGTTTGAGCGTTTGCATGCAATCGAATCAAATACAAAAAATGGACGCGTTTGCGCAAGAATTTAATCGTGAAAGCGCTTTGTTTTGGAAAGTTGTTGAGGAGATTATAAACGATCCAATTCCTCTTTATTAAAAAAAAAACTTATAACGGCTGCTGGCTATAACCGGTACAGCGTGTTGAAGAATGCTTCAGAGAACTTGAAGGACGAACTAAAACAATTTGCGCGGGACCAAATGCTAACGATGTTCAAAATGAACTCCGAAAACTTCCACATTTACCACAGAAGTCCCAAAGAATTTCGGATCGTACCAGGACACTGGAACCTTTTACGGGAGGTTATGAAAAAGTTACCAGACAACCGCAAACTTTTTTTGAAGGTATGTATCTTTAAACTATTGCTGCTGAACTATCTTAATTTTTGCTGCTGAACTATTAACATGGTTGCTTAGTTTCAGCGCAAGACTACTGAGATTTTGCAAAATAAATCCGCTAATTTAAAGAACTGCCATACTTCCGCCGAAACTGAGGTCAAAACCTCGGTCAAAACTCAATACAACGACCGAGACAACGACAAAACGATCCAAAAATCCGTAGTGGAAAAGAAACTATTAGCATGGTTTAAATCTAAGGCTATGGAGACATCAGAAAAATTCTTGGTTAATATCTGTGGATCCCGCAGAGCCTCTGTTTTATGCTTCCGCTGCGGAAAAGCTATAATATTGAGTTCAAGGGAGAATAAAAACGGGACATGGGGTTGGATAATATCAAACTACACGCAGCATATATTGCAACATGTTTCCCAGAACAGAAGAACAATCGAAAGCTATTTTCGTCCAAATACTGATCCTACTGGATCCCAGCACTCGCATCAACCTCATAACGTTGAAACACTTCAACTAGATTTGCCCGAGATTTTTTCTTTGTCTTGTACAGTAGTCCATTCTAAATTTAACATGATCAAAGCTGGATGATTATGCATGAAAACGAAACATTCAGATTCAAGTAAGAACAATGTATTCGAACGATCCGAGCAGAGTGTGGTAAATCTTAAATCATGCTCAAAGAAGTGCTTGTGCACTGTGTCAAAGTTTCCAGGTAGTTTCTTGTTTCTAAAGTTATTTTAAGTAATTCTCCTACTATTGGTTTCTGAATATGTGCGATGTATCTATTAATATTGATCTTACTTGAATCTGACACTAAGCTAAGTGTGTTGTCATCTAGGTTGCGGAACTTAATACATACTATTCCTATTCCTTTTGGTTCAACAGATTCAGGTAGGTCCACCGGGACCGTCTTGAGAGTGCATTCCTTATCTCTTTTAAATTTGCCTTTTAAAAAAGTGAATCCTAATGTCTGCGCGGCAATTTTACTACGTTTATCCAAATAAACAAACCAATCACCAATGGACAAATTTGAGTTCACAATATTATCATCAATATTGATATATGTAATTTCTTTATCCGATTTAGAACGAAACCTTAGGAGCCTATCATTGCTGATTTTTGTTCTTTCTGAAGAGAGCAGCCAGAGAACACGTGCTAACACGTGCTAACATGATTTCGCCAGTTGTCGTAAGAATTTTAAAGAAACCTCGAAAATCTCCATCGACTCCTGTAAAATAATAATAGTGTAAGTTCAGTAGCAGTAGCTTCAGTTTGTGTTTTGCAAACTTTTTTTTGTTTTACAAATTTGGTTTAGATCAGCACCAATTTTATTCAAGAGAACGTTTGCTTCGTATATTGCGTTCTCGTTTAAGTCATCCTCATAGGTCTTAAACGCTGTTTCAATCTCATAATTGTTTTCTTGATCCATTTCCAAGTTGACTACTTCCAGTGGAAGGATATCTGTATTCTTAGAGCGAGAAACAACACAGGAAAAATCAGATTCGTCCCATTCCAATCCAGTCAATTCCAGCAATTCTGTGGCTCTTTTTCTTCCTTTGAAGACTGTTTTTTCAATACAGTCGAAGCTCTTTATAGCGACATCGCAGGGGACGGTCGTTATAGAGAACTGTCGTTATAAAAGATAGTCGTTATATAGAATTTCAATGTCGTTATAGAGAGAGAAACGTTACTCCATGCTAAACAATCAGAGTATATTTTTAGATGATTCCAATCGATTTTTAACAATACAACACATATTGTTTAAGATTATATCAAATCAAATGTCAATTCATTCTTCCCCTAGAACCTGTTTTTTTAATTAAAAAAAATTGAATTGCTGAAACTGTCCTTTGGCAGATCTTCCGTAGTTAATAAACCAGCATATATTGTTTGGAAAGCATCTGAAAGTTGATTCTTAGAAGGCGCGCTGGTTAATTCATTGTCAACAGTTTCATCAGTCAATGAGTGGTTTTGATCATCGATACTGCTGCTAGATGACTGATCATGAATAATTCGGACTATGTCATCGTCAGTCAAAAGTTCTCCTTCACAAAAGCCGTCGTAAAAATTCACGTAGTCTGGAATACACAAATTTCATAGATAATATTATTGAAACATTACATACATTTTTATACCTCCAAATCAATCAAAACCTTTCTCAGTGAGCATTTCAAATTTTGATGGAAATAAACTTTCTTTAGTAATATCAGTTACAATGTTACTCTCATTAATACATATTAAATTGTTTGGTTTGACAAAACCAGCTTTAATGAAGCAATTAACAATTGTGGATTGTTTAACGTTGTTATACCGTGCATCAGCTATCATGTTAATGCACTGTAGTAAGTCAATTTTCATTGATTCATCATTTTCAATAACATTCAGATGATATTTCAATAGCTTGTTGTGGTAGTGCACTTTCAAAGATTTTATTATGCCAAGATCAAGTGGTTGGAGTACAGAGGTCATATTTGGAAGAAAATATGCCAGTTTGATGTTCCTCAACTTTTGCTGAATGTTTGGATGGCTGGGACAGTTATCAATAATCAAAATAATTCGTTTTCCTTCAATCATCATTCTTTCATCAAGTTTAAGCACCCATTCTTCAAACATGAAGCTTACCATCCATGCTTTTTTGTTGCTTCTATAGATGACTAGCAGGCTATTGATATGTTTAAAGCATCTAGGTTTAGCACTTTTACCAATGATCAGAAGCTCCAACTTTTCTGATCCGTCCATATTTGTGGCAACAGCAGCCGTAATTCGCTTTTTAGAGTATTTTCCCCCATGACATTTATCACTTTTGAAACAGTATGTTTTATTGGGTAAGCATTTGAAAAATAGACCCGTCTCATCCATATTAAACACATTTTGGGGACTGTAGTCAGCAATCAACCGTGGCAACGTATCGGATATGAATCGTCCAGCGTCAACAACATTTACAGCTCCATTTTCTCCGCTAGCAATTTTGAACGACAATCCAATGCTCTTAACAAATTTTTGAAGCCATCCATCGCTCGCTTGAAAAGAATCGGTGAAAGGTGATAGCAATTCGCGGTGAGGTTTGGAAGAGTTATTTTCCAGCCTTCAGCAATGGAGTGCGTGTTTTAAAAAGGAGACTTATTCTTCCCATCCCGTCATTCATCACCGTGGATGGCGAAATTACACTGGTATCATACCCAAACCAAGTGAAAACATGTCGCAATTGTGAGCGCAAATCTCACCCAAAGCAACGCTGCTCCGATGTGCAGCAGCAGTAACAGCAGTAGCAACAGCAGTAGCAAACGAAGACAATACTCTCAGTAGCAGCACCAACAGCAACTACGTTAACAGCAAGAACAAGAACAACAACAACGCACACAAACTTCCATCAAACGCAGCCAACATTGGCCCTCGCTCCCGAA